AAGTGGAACATAGGGCTTCAACAACACATCTCCACTTTGTTTCACCTGCTGTCCTCGTAAGCTGGGTAGAACGAATTCCCATAACCTCACATCTCCTCCTCACACCATCTCCTCCATGTCACCCTTACGACACTCGTCGTTCCCCATTGGGATTCCACTCGACGGCCTGGCGCGCGATATCATTCAATGGTCTCCTCAATGTATGCCTGAACCATCAACATTTTCTCCTAAATATTTGTTGATTGATCGTCTCTTGGTTGATTTGTCCTCACCCAGAGTTTCTTATTACAAATTCTTTTTAGTCACTTCATGTTCATTATGGAGCCAGCGAAGGCAGCTGTTGATGAAAGTCTGCAACTTGTTGAAAATACTTTTGGGATACACTGGCCAAGTTTCTGACTCGTGTAGAAGCAGTGACTGACTTGACATTGGTGTTGAAAATGAGTATCTTGTTCCTTAGGCCGAGTGTAGAAGATTTCCAAACTGGTTTTAGGTTGATGAAAGCGTATGTTGCCTTTCTCCATCATTTCCGCCTTTGGTTGAAACGATGCTACTTAGATACTTGAAATAAGGGACCCCTGTCGATGGATGCTGGTTGTTTTGTAGCGCTTCGTTGGTTATCTTCATCATCTTCGTCTTCTCATGCTCACTTGGAGTCCTGTCTTGGCTGTGTCAATGAAGACTAAACATTTCGTTTCAATACAGTCAATCAACGGGAAATACAAAGTACTCCTAGGTTTTCCAATGGTTCTCTAACTGATGTCAACTCTTGTTCAAGCCTGTAACCAACCAAATCTCTTGGCTGCCAACTTCTTTAGCCAGTTTTTCTCTTCTCGCCTGTAAGTCTTCGAATTAGCGTGACACCAGAAATTTATCATCTGAGAAATCCAGATCTTCTACAGTCTTCTCATCGGTGGTCCAGCGTACTCCTGACTCCTCACTTCAATCCAGTTCACCACAATTAAGAATATCATCGGCGATAATAGGCAGGCTGGCTTGTCTTACTCCTGTATTCACTCTAAACGCCTCATTGTGTTTTCCGTTGTGGATTATCTGACAAGTGGCATTTTTATAAAGCTGTTGAGTGAGGTTGACAAAGACTTGGGCATTGTGCGCTGTAGTGTTGAAGTAGTTTCCAAATCACTTCTCGGTCAACGCTGTACGTGGAAGGCCTTTCCAAACTCGATGAAGTTGAGGTAGAGGTTTGACTTTCATTCTATGCTTTGTTCTGTGATGACGATGCGTAGAGTTGCAATTTGATCAGCACACGATTCGCCTTTCCTGGATCCAGCTTGTTCTGGTTGGTGGGCGGAGTCCTTTATCCAGTGCATCCTTTATTCTCTCCAGGATGATGCGACTTAGTATTTTACTTGACGTAGGTGAAGAAGAATATTATTCCACGCCAGTTCTTGCAGAAGCGAAAGTCTCTCTTCTTTGCTATCCTGACAAGGTAGCCAGCTCTCTTCCAATCGTAGGTAACCTTCCTTCTTTCCAAATCCCTTGCAGTAATAGAGTGAGCACGTCTACGGCAGTCTCTGGATCCGTTTTTAGTGCTTTAGGGGGGGGGAATTCCGTCTCGTCCTGCTTCCTTTCCGGACGGACTTCAGTAACTTGATCGCATTCAGGATTTCTGCTTTCGCTGGAGGTTTGATGTCCACCAGCCAGCAGTTGTGTGCGAGCTGTTGGTGATATTTCTGAGCGAGTTGCAGGTGATAGTCGATTCAATAGTCCTTTAAAGTGATCAGCTCACTGTTTTATTTGTTTCTTCTCCTTGGTAATCATGTTCCCTTGAGCATCTCTCATTGGTTTCATCATCTGTTTTGATCTCTTCCCGGAGAGAGACTTGGTTATCTGATATAGTGTCCTGAGATCTTTTTTGCCCGCGACCTGCCTGTTCTGATTCAGTTGTTTGTCAGAATGTCGTAGAATTGTCTTCTTTCTTTCCTAAGATTCTCCTTCACTTCTTTCTCTATTCAGTGCAGTGTACGTTGAACTCAGCTTCTCCTTCTGTTGCCCATCTTTGCATTGAGTCATCGTCTCTTTCACCATCTTCATATCCTCTCTTCTACTAACTTTCTGGTAGATATCCGTTGAGAGGAATTTCTCGTCTTGCCTCATTTTTCTTCCTAAAACGATGATACATGTTTGCTTGAATATCGCCTCCGGAGATCGGGTTCAAATGTTTTTCCACTTAGGTTTCCTCAGTGATGCCATGTAGTGTCTCCGACTTTTCTCTGATCTGTTCTGTAGTGAAGGTATCTCTTGTGGTTTTGTCCTTCAGTTACTGAATGGTGAACTTGAATTTCAATCGCCTGTCTCCAGTTGTTCTTAGTGATTTCAGCTTCACCTTGAAGGTTCTTTTAAATAGATGATGCTCTGAGCCAGCATCTACTACCTTTCTCGACTTGGTTTCCAACAGGCCACCTGTGTCTCCACGTTGTTGAGATTGAGATGAAATTTATGGTTTGTGATGTGTTCGTCGGGCAAAATCTATGTTGTTTTGTGTATATCGTTGTGTTTGTACACACTCCCTTCAATCACCAAATCATTGAAAGTACAGAAGTCTGCGAATAATTCTCCGTTCTCATTGATTTTTCTAAGCGAGAGCCTCTCAACCGATTACGAGTTCTCTTCTTGTATTATCTGCTCCCAGTTTGGCAATATTATTTTACTTGTGCTGTTTCTTATTTTGATAATGCTTTTTAAACTGTCTTACTTTCCAACCATTTTCTACAAATATTATGAAAGTGACTAGCACGTTATATGCATTGACTATATGGTACTTTGGATTAACTCCACTTACCACAACCATTAAGAAGGTTTCAGTATGAAAAAATCCTTATTTAGACATTTAGAAAACAGAAAGATTGAGCGAAGAAATATTTACTTTTCAATTATATCCTCAGGTAGTAAACCAGTGGAAGATATTGTTTATAAAAGTATTAGCTTGTTATTTAAATACTAGCTGAAAAGTCTAAGTTATAAACAATATAACAAATATGTAGAGTTCAGACTGATGATTTTGTAAAAATCTTGTTGAATGTAGAAAAGATGACACATTTTGTATATAATTAGTTGAAATCGACATCTTTGTTTGAATAATAACTTTTCCACATAATTTGAAATATACGCGCTTTTGTCCAGGCTTTGCCATCACATTCACTTCAACTTTCTACTTGTCCTTTCAATTCTAGTGTTGCAGTCATTGAAATTTAAAGCAACTCTTGCCCTAATTTAGAGAATGTTCAACAACTAATGGGTAATATTCGCAGGTGAGTGTGACACCTATGACACCTAGTTCCAGACAACGCATCTCCATTTCATTCGCCACTCAGAAGTTCTCCTAAGCTGGCTCGCTCCACAAATCTCTACAAGCTGACACTATCTCCTCACACAGTCTCCTCAGTGTCACCTTCTGACAACCAACTCATCGTTTACTACGTAGGTTACACTAGAGATGCGGAAGCGCAATGTCATCCCACGGTCACCACAGTGCATGTCCCATCCAGCTCCATTTCCTTCGGAATATTTGTTGATCAATAGGCTCTTGATTGGTTACGCGTAACAGTTCGTTGCTGATAACTCTTTTTGGCTATATGATCTGCAATATCCAGCCAGCATAGGCGGCTGTCGATGCAAGTCTGTAGTCAGTCATTGGAAATGCTATTCGTGAACCACCAAGTTTATGACCCATATAGAAGATCCCACTTAAGAGTGGTGTTAAAAACCTGAATCCGATTCTGGCTTTGACAGTGTCATCTGTGCCGTATGCCTGTATTTGAGACGATGCTTCCTAGATAAGTCAAGGCACTGACCTCTTTCAAATTTGTCCCGTTCATGGTGACTGGCGCTTTGTGTTAGTGTTGTTGTTGTTGTTGTCGTCGGTTGTTCATCTTAATCACCTCCATCTTCCCCGTGTTCACCTGAAGTCTGATCTTCGCTGAATGTCCCTTCTGAAAACTTGTTGATTTTGCCCCGTTGGTCTTCGAGTTCACGTGACACTAGACATAAGGCGTCTACGAAGTTCGGATCTCCTAGAGTCTTCTAATCAGTCCAGTGTGTTTCTCACTCCCACGCGAGGTGCAGTGCATAATCCATCCCATCACAATGAAGAATGTTGTCGATGCTAGTAAGCCATCTCATGTTACTGCGATCATTACTCTAAAGGTTTCATCAAGTTTTCGGTTATAGATCACTTCACATATGACATCGTCTCTTGCTACTTTCAAATTCTATTTTAATACTTTATACATTCACCTAGAAATATGCACTTTCTATGAATCAGTTGAATGGTCAGATTGAATATTATATTTCTATAAAGGATAAATAATATTTATTCATTTACTTATTTCAAATGTAACACACAAATGGTGTTTACTACTTCATATCTCCACAAAATAAAAAAATACACTAAAAAGGATGAAGTCATAAATAAATACAGAAGTAAACATGAGGAAAGAGCCTTCCTCAGACAGTGTTACCTCGATCAAATATAGCCGTCAAATACGTCTTCTCAAATCATCACAAATACTTGAAATGATAATACTACTAACAATGGAAGTTCAGATAATATTTTTTGGTAATTACATAGTTGAAGAGTAATCAAACTTCCAGGGAAAAGAAGTTTTAACTGAGATTTGTATAGGTATGATAATTATGATTACAGTATATATAAACATATATGAATATAAATACACCAAAAATCTCCAAGAAAAAGGATTGCTCAATCATAAATGTCTGCTATTTGATTGAAGTGAATTCATCACCTATTAATATTCATTTCTATTTGCAATTTAACCAGGTTGATGAATTGCATATGCTGGTAGATCAGTATTAAGTTTCCTTAATCCATTCTTAACTGGAGCTGATTTGGGTCGTTCACAAGGAATCTCAAAAGTTGATAAACGGGGAAAGCGTTTAATACTATGAGAATGTTGTCTATACGGTCCATTTTGGTAGTGATTGAGATCATTTTCATTGCTGGGAATTTTATCAATATTGTATGCGGAGTGTATAAAGGCTGTTGGATAGAATTTAAACAAAAACACGTGTTATTTATAAAATGAAACATTTAAAATAAATAAATAGATAATAAGACCAAGCAGGTAGTTTTTCATTAAAATCTTATTAAATCTCTTGTTACTTCGTAACCCTGAGGGCTCTACAAGAACAGCTAAACCTTTTGAAAATATCTTCATCCATAACAGTTATCCACTGCGATAAATTGGTAAAAATATCAAACTAAAAATTAAGAAAAACAAAACATGACATGGATCCTGATTGCAAGGGAGATCCAACCTGTGATATTCTTAAGAGGAGAATTTCATCATCTTGGAAAAGAGCAATTTTCGTCACAAAGCTAACAGCACTGATTCTCAGAAGTATGAAAGACAAGATCTTGCATCTGTTTACTTCTGTGCGTATATATTGCTTCACCTGTTTCTGTGGAGCTAGGTATGTTGGTTGTTCGATGTCGGTCCTGTCTAAAACGGTTCAAAAATGATATTAAAAAATTGTTTTCACTAAGTTTTATACTGGAGAAAAGCTCATTCCTGATGATCTTCAAAACTTTGTTGGTTTAAAGAATGGATTAATGCTAATTTTGTTACTCTCTGGTAAAATATAACGTCTGATATATACTTTAGACTGTGAAACCATTTGAGATTATAAAAACTGTATTTATATTGAAGTTTTCAAAAAACGTCGCCTTATGCTCACTAGCGACTGGCCCTTTTCAGGTAGGTAGTTACCTAGGGTTCTGGTGAAAAGTCGTGACCAGTGGGGTGCAGCAGGTCGGGTGTGAGGATAAATGCTCGCCGAAGACATTAGCTAGCGGTTGCGCTATATTGTGAATTGGCAGAAGTTAGAATTCGAGGACCATTGGATCGGGTCTCAGTGGCCTAATGGTCCACGAGCTTGCCTTGTAACCAGAAGGTCCTGTATTAGTTTCGTTAAATTGAAACATATTCTAGATCGTCATGGCTGATGTTAAGTAGGGTTGAGATTTGTCTCTAGCTTCCTTTAATATTAATTTATTTACTGAATATATCACATAGTGAAATAGTATTATCTACTAGATGACTTTTCGAACACAATTTATTGTCCATAATCATATCAATAATAACTACACAACATTCATTTTTCAGTTTTCTTTATCCCCATATATTCGTCGTAGAGTTAGCAGAATTTTCGAGATGTCCGAAACAGTTGTTGAATCATCCTATCAAGCTTCCCTTTCCAATCTGTCTCTACTGTGTTATATTTTAAGATTGTCATCTTATCTAGAGTGTAACTGTATGTGGGGCTATAGCTGAACTATTCCTTAGATTTATTAAGTTATTAGGGCAAACTAGTTTAGATTTTGCCAGGTTTTTGTGCTCTTCTGATCCAACGGACTCTGATCTACTACTTTGACGCATACATCTGACCTCAGAATCATTTCAGCATACTAGATAGAATAAATAGATTTGTTTAATGGCCTGCACACTATCTTTTAACTAAAATAATTTGTTTTTATTAATATATGTGTAAAATTTGCGCATTGTGGTAGTAAATAATTCCATATTGGTGTGTTTATTAGATGTGTCACACAGTGAAACAGCATTATTATTTACTGGATGACGTTTCAAGCAAAATTTATTGTCCATAATCACACGACTTCGAAAATTGAGTTTTATAGTTTTCTTTGTTCTCTCCTATTTGTCGTAGGGGTAGGAGAATTTTAGAGATATCTGGGATAGGCGATGAATCATTCCTATTGCATGTATTTGCAGTTGATTCGATAAACAAAGCTTCTGTTATCAATCTTTCCCTCCACCCAGCTGTTACATTAGATTTTAAAACTGTCATCCTATCCCATTCTATTTTATGGTTGTGTATAATTGCATGTGGTGAGTGGTATAGCTAAACTATTCTCTAGATTTCCTATCTCATTCGGGTCAACTAATCTAGATTTTGCCAGGTTTTTATGTTCGGCTAGTCTGAGTGCCCCTGTTGTACTAGTTTCACCTAAGTATTTGACCTGACAGTCATTGCAGGCAGCGTATTAGATAAACTAAATTGTTTTGTTTTAAAAGCTCCACCGGCAGGGTCCTTTAACCGACAAAGATTGTTTCTAATTGAGTTTTTGGGTTTGAATGCCATTTTTATTCCTGCCTTGTTAAGAATTCCACGAAAGGTTTCCGATGTCCCTTCCTTGTATGGAATTAATACTGATGATTTCGATTCCTTATTGTTGATGTTGTCGTTATCCTGGGCATGTTTTACATGCATGTCGTCATTATTATTATAATTATCACTATCACTACCATAATTATTTTATTTTTATTTTTCCCTACATTTTTTTATAAGTTAGTAAGTAGCACTGTTTCATTGTGTGATAAATTAATATCATTTCTCTGGGTCTCGAGTGGAACATAGAGCGACAACTTCACGTCTTCATTTCATTCTGTTCTCTGCACTCCAATTTAAGCTGGCTCCACAATTTTCAATGAGCTGTCATCTCCTCCTCAAATAATCACCTCCATGTCACCATAAAACCCACTACCAACTGGTTGTTTGCTATTTGGTATCCACTTGGGTGATGGTCTGTCGTGCAATGTCACCAAAATATCTCCTCAGCATGCGTCCAATCCATCTTCATTCTCTTTGACATGTTTCTTGGGAGAGATGTTCTTGGTTGGTTTGCTATCGGAATTCCTAGTTGCTGATTCTTTCTGGAGATTTGATCTTCAACATGTGCCGAGAGAATACATTTGTTGGTGCTGTTGTGAATAGGCATTTTTGGAAATGCTTCCATGACACCCCAAAATTCTAACCTACATAGAAGGAGTGACTTAACGTTTATGTTGATAATCCGAATTTCATTCTTTATGCTGACTGTAGGAGATTTCCTAACTGGCTTCAGAGTGACGAAGGTCTGTCTTGCCTTTCTGATTCTGTTTTTTTCCAGTCTCATCCGTGCTATCTGCCTGTAGTTGAAACGATGGTTCCTAGATAGGTGAAAGAAGCAACCTGTGTCAAATATCTCCCAATGATGGGGATAAATCCGATATACAAATTCACATGTAATTATGGACTACCATAGTGTCCACGGTTCACGCATATAATAATGTCAGCTTCATTGTTTTGAAGTTTAATATTCGGATTATTTTCCTCATTTTATAAATGAGCGCTACTATATTAGAAATTTTATCACCCTTAACTTCATGTTTATTTGTAAAAAGGATTATTTGTAAAATCTCAGCGAGATTGAAATGAGTAATTCCAACGTTTCGTTCGGAAATCTGGTCCGAACTTCTTCAGGGAAATTAATCGAAATTAACATAACAGAGGTTTATACATAAAAGGAACATCTTTTGTTTTTAAAAACTTTGTCCAATTATGAGTCATGAAGCAAGTATCAACAAGTGAAATAAACAAAATTGTATGAGCTGTCATCAAAATTTGACCTCGGATTTACAAATATTGGTATACCTTTGTCAAACACTCTAGACAGATTGTGCATGTGTGTGTGGGTAAACGGTTGTAGAATATTTCTTAACGTCTCCATAAGAAGATATAGGAAGTCAGGAACTTTGACCAAGTATTATTAGTTAGTGATACGTATCCATTCTTATTTATTAGTCAGGATTTCCTATGCATCAGCTAACATCACACCTTCATGTTTATTCACACTGTTAGTAGCTAGAATTTTATGATTAGATGTATTTTCAAAATCACAGCTCATACAATTTTGTTTATTTCACTTGTTGATACTTGTTTCATGACTCATAATTGGACAAAGTTTTTAAAAACAAAAGATGTTCCTTTTATGTATAAACCTCTGTTATGTTAATTTCGATTAATTTCCCTGAAGAAGTTCGGACCAGATTGCCAAACGAAACGTTGGAATTACTCATTTCAATCTCTCTGAGATTTTACAAATATAACTTTTTACAAATGTCTACTTCTCACTCAGCGCTCAAATATTTTAGAACTATTCCGTCAAGTTATGATGACAGTTCATTTGAATTCATGTTTATTTATTTTGATAAGTCTTAGTATTAGTATTTAACACTGTCTTTTCTCCTCATATCAGCTGTGATTAGGCAGTTATCATGTGTAAATGAGTACGATTTTAACTTTTCCTATCCTCAATTCAACTTTATGTCAAAGATGGATAACAGAAGTACTAACAACAAATAAATGCCTAAATCAGTAAGAATTCATTTGTCTCAAGTTGACTATATGGATTTGCGCGCGTTTACACATACATATATAGACGACCAGGAATAATTTGAAATCAATCGATATCACAAAGAAGAATTATTCAAAGAATGTGTACTATTTACTGGAATAACCTGTTTGAATTTTTTGAAAAAAAAATTTAATTATTCCTTTTTATTCTTTTTTAACTTTTGATATTAAATTTAACAACGGTGAAATATATATATTCACACTTACTTTTACTATTTTTATTTGAAGACCACATATAACTGTTTACAATTGGCCAATGTAGACGTGGAAATGATGTTCTTGCACGAGTTATTGAAAATTGTGAATCACTAATACTTGAATCACTAAGTTCATTATTTTCAACTAATCGTTCATTAAGATGATTTTCAATTCGTTGATTTTCTTCTTTGATTGGACTTTTCATTGAGATAACTTGAGTTGAATTAAGTTCATTTAGTAAATTTTGATGTTTAATAAAATTTTCATTATTGGATATTTTCATTTTATATGGTACAGGCTATATTTATTCAAAAAAAAAAATAAAGTAAAACGAAAAAAAAATGTTTTTACTGTGTTTTAGCTATAAATTATATTTAAGTTCTTTAAATACTATTTATATATCAGTGCCCAGTAGGGTACAGCAGGTCGGCCGTGAGGCCAGATACTCGCCGAAGACATCGACTAGTGGTCACCTTATGTTGTGGATTGCAAGAAGTTGGAATTTATAGGCCATGGGATCGGGTCCCAGTGGCTGAATGGTCTACGAGCTCACTTTGTAACCAGAAAGTCCTAAATATGAACCCCTGTGGTTGGTGCGTACTGATGAAGAGTCTGTTAAAACAGCTGTCCAGTATATCCTGCTGGTTTTTTCAGCGGTTGTCTAACTGATGTCAGCTTATGACGAAATCCTGTAACCAGTCAATCAATTCCCTACAAACTGATACTTGGATATCTTTAAATGCCAGTTAACTTAAAATATATATGAGGTTCTTTTTTAGAATTTTCCTTTATTCATTCAAAATAACATTTGTTAGAATCAAAACTATCTAAGTAATACCAATGCAACTATCTTGTAAATATAAGAATACGTTTTTTTTTAAATAACACCGAAGAACAAAAATGGACAGAACTAATTTTTTGCTGATGAATCTTCATGACATGATGGATTACAAACATATTCTAAGTCTAAAGTTGTTAAATATCTCTCTTTCTACATACAGGTAGTTATCTGAAAAGATCTCGATGGACGAACGTATTTCTAAGTTAAGTAATACACTACAGATTTTTATCAGCTTCATTCAGCGGCCACATGACAATGTCGTATGTCAAGTGATACACAATGGATGACTCAACGAGGCTTCTGTTGTGAAGACAGGACTAAAGCAAGACTGCCTACTATCATCGATAATATTTCTCATTGTGGTGGAATGGATTATGCAGTACACTAAGCGTGGGGAGCGAGAAAACAGAAACACATTGGATTGATTAGAAGACTACAGAAGATTTGGGCTTTGAAGACACCTTGTGTCTAGTGTCACATATACCTGAAAACCTTCAGCCAAAAACCAACAGATTGTCAGAAGTGACAATCAGCAAAGATAAGACTTCAAGTGAACACGGGGAAGGTGGAAGTAATGAAGATGAACAGCCAACAACAACAACAACAAAAGGTGCCGGTCACTGCCTTCACTTATTCGGGAAGCTACAGGCACACGGCATAGATGAGACTGTCAAAGACAGAATCGGGAAGTCAAGACAGCTCTCCATCACTCTGGAACTAGTTAAGCAATCTTCCGCACGCTGCATTAAAAACAAGATTCGCGTTTTCAACGTCAGTGTTAAGTGACCTCTTCTATATGAGTCAGAAACTTGGTGGTTCATGAGTAGCATTTCTAACAGCCGGCTGCAGACTTGCATCGACAGCCGCCTATGCTGACTAGATTTTGCAGATTATATGACCAGGAAGAATTATCAGTGACGAGCTCTGACAACGAACGAATCAAAAAGCTATTGCTCAGAAATTATTCCGAAGGAAATGGAGGTGGATGGGACACGCTCTGAGGGGACCATGGAATGACACCGCGCTCCCGCATCTCTAGTGGAACCTATGTAGTATACGATGAGTTGGTTGTCGAAAGGTGACATTGGAGAGTTTGTGTGGAGGTGATGACAGCTTGTGAGGAGTTGTGGAGCCAGTCAGCTCAGGGGACATCTGAGTGGCGGGTGAAATGGAGATGTGTTGTTGAAGCCTTATGTTCATCTTGGAACCAAAGGAGTAATAATAATAAATCCTATTATTAGATTACATTAGAGTGCATTAGATTTATACATGTTTGTGCGATTAGACAGGCTGTTTAAATTGAAATGGATGGTATAGGCTTTATGTAAACATTTGAAATAACGTTTGGTTATTACTTTTCCAAGTCTCATTTTATTTTGATTTAGTAGAAGAAACGGATAATGAAAAAGACTAATTTTATATGCGATTAATTTGATAAGGTTATATCGGACAAAAATCTCAAATAATTTCAAGGCCAGTTAACGTACTATCGATCATTGCTTACACTTTAATTTGTGAAATAAACCTATGAGGCTAGATCCAGCAATAACTGAAAGGATAATGAAATAATTGTCAAATAGGAATTTCTGTCTAGACTGGTTATTCTGTTTATACTACTTCAAACTGTCTTATAACTAAGGTTTACATTTCAGCTTCAAGTGAGATTCTAATATGAAGTCAGTCAGTTTGAACAAATACAGTTTTCAAGCATAGATCTGAAGGAATTTGGCTGTTTCTGATTTAGTTAATGAACAAATAACAGTTAGAATTCTGGTTAGTTTCAGCTAACGACGGTAACAGAGTTTGATATAGGGGCGAATATTCGCTGATGACACTGAGTGTCAGTGGTACTATATATTGTGAGCTAGTAATAGTTATAATTCACGAGCCAATGTATTCCTTCTTCAGCGGTTGATTGCTTAACCGGCTTGCCTCGTATCTTGAAAGTCCTCCTTTCCATCCCTAATGATGTCATCAGTGCATATTGCTGAAGAGCCCCAATCTTGGAAGAGTCACATGTCTAGTACTTTCTCATTCTCAGTGGTTCTCTAAGTAATTTAGAGTCTTCATATAACTTAAAAATTATATTCATGACAAATTATTTTACGACTTACAATTTTACTACAAATATCTTTTTTTTGTTTTTTGTTACATAGTTAAGTGTGAATAATTGTGAGGATTTGTGCTGACGCATAGTTGAGCATATATATACATATATATGAAAATAAGGTTAATGGAGTTAGTAAAAGTTGAGGAATTCATTTCTGTTGTTGTTTTTTCTGTACAGATTTATTATACATCAGTATGGTTCAATTATGGTCCAAGCTAAAATTTATAAACATTTGTGATTCTGTCAATCTAAACAACATAAAGATTGTACCACAAGAAAGAAAACGTTAATAGTTGGTGTTATTTTTTTATTTACACTAACAATAATTTCTCTTCAATGTGTTTGTATAACACTATTAAATGATAATTATACACACTTGATATGGATTGGTAATAATTCTCACAGAAATATGAACTTTTGATTGACAGTAGTATTTCTGGAAGGTGCTACTTCGAAACATAAAGTTTTCTGTGATCTTTGATGTGTGAAACAGTCTCCAGTCTCATTAATGATTTAAGTTTCTTTAATAAATTTCTCTGCAGAATGGTTAGTTATATAGAGGATAGTCTGAACAGAAAAGAAAGTTTTGTGAAATGAAATGAAGATATAGGACCGAAGTTTTATTTAGTAATAAAAATAATCAGTTGCTATAGAAACTATCAATTGGTGATACTTTAGAATTCATAGGCCATTTATTCAGGTCCTAGAAGTTGAGCTTGCCTTATAAATAGGATATCCTGATCGGTGCCTACTACTGAAGGGGCGCAAACTAAGATGAAATAGCTGTTCAGTACTCCCCCTAGTCTTCCAATGGTTCTCCAACTGATGTCAGCACATGATCCACCTTGAAGTAGATAGAAGTCTTTTGAAAATGTATTAAATCTTCCTTATAATTCTAGTATTCAGATGTAATTGAGTCACATTCATGAAACATAGCTTTATCAAAATTATGGTTTGTTTTATGTAGGTTAGTATGTTAGACTTATAGCTTTAGTTGATGATTTACCTTGAATAAATTGTTTTCTTAATCGTGCAACTTTTTTTCACTGACGATTGTATATGTTGATCTGTTATCTCACCAACTCCCAATTTTCACAGGCAGAATAAATATGAAAAAGGAGTGTTCTTAATTGTTAGTCCAGGTGTGAAGGAAAGTAATTTACAGTGCATATATATATATATTGTTTAAAACTGTTGAATGTGTTTATTTATGTTATACTTATTAAATGTTATGATTAATGTTAGTTAATACAAGGTATATTGGTGAATAGTGTGAAAATGTGTACTTCATTCATTAAGATGTTATCTGGTAAAAGATGAATACCATGTTGAGGCTTACTCATACATACCGTTTGATTATGTAATACAGGTGTTTTGTCCGTTGTAGAAGAAGGAGACTGTAATAAAAGTAAACAAATAGAGAGGATAAAAGTTGTTGGGCATTATCCGAGTTGTCTGTTATAACAGTATTATAAATAAATAAATAATAAATAAACATGAGTTATCAAAATCTTGACATAAATGATGGAATTTACGACTGAGTATTTATTCATTTTGGGTCGGTGGCGTAGTGGATAGGACGCTCACAGACCATGCACATGGTCCAGGGTTCGATTCCTGGCCGGCACACTCCTTCCCCTCACCAAGCCAGAAATAAAAGCTGATGAAGAGGAAAGGTTGGGCATGAGGCTAGCGACCCCATCCTGTAAAAATAATAAACACTGCTACAGAAACTTCAAGCCTCTGGCTTCAAGCCCATTGTTGCACTGAGAACGTGAAGGAAAAAAAATTTATTTATTTTGGGAACGTCATTTTATTCAGTTATGATTTAAACAGATAAATTTTATCTCAGTTGTAGGTTCAAAAAAACGCTGCTACCGAGTTGTTTTAGCTGATTTCATCGTGTTTCCTTTGAAATTTGAATTTAAGTTGACCAATGCCAAAGTCAGAAATTATTATTATGTTGTTTTGGTTATGCTTGTGAACGCTCCTTGTGAATTCAAGGAGCTTAGTGTTATCTATCTTACAGTTGCCTTCAAATACTTACAATGTCATAAAGCAGCTAAACCTATTATTACCACAGAAGGGAATTGTTTGAAGTTGTAGTCAGAAGTTATCATCACTGAGGTACATCAATATCGGACATCAGGACATATAGTTACCTATAAAATTGCTTGTCGATACCACTGTATACCCTAAACTTCAATGAACGAAATATTCCTAGACTGAGCAATAAGAAAAAATACATGTAAACGGTGAAGGAAATTCTCTTTTCACTCAATCATTTCCAAGAGAGGTACAATAGCACTAATATCTAACGAAGAATTCATAAAACCACTCTGACACTTGTAGATTTGTTCTCGAAAATGTATTACGTAATGTGAGGTGTAACCTAGAAGGGGATGACTAATTTGGGATTAGGAAAGAAAGAGGCAGGAGTTGAAATAACGCGGTAAGTGTGGGAAATGGCTGGTCAATATAATTGTATAAAGTGAACATAAACTAGTAGAAAGACAGTGAAGTGTTCATATAAAATATTTTTAAGGTCCCGAATAGCCAATAATTTGGCTATACATAGGTAGCTTGCTCGAAGTTCTCTCGTGCGATATTAAAGTACTCTGTGTTGCACTATGAAGCAGTCATGCGTGATTGCCCAATATTCAAAGTTGATAAGATGTTTGAGCTTAGAACTGCTGGTATTCTGCTTTTCTTCTTAAGCTAACCGAGTTGGACAGTGTCTCAGTATGCTTTTGCTGGCTTAACCTTATGCACTGCCAGTATACTTTACCACACTAGTTTATGTACACTTTATACAGTACACTGATTAGTCATTTCTGACATTTATTGCTTTATTTCAACTCCCGCCTCTTTCTTTCCTAATCCTCAATAAGTCATTCCCTTCTAGACTACGTCTCACATTGCGTGATACATTTTCTAGAACAAATCTACAAGTGTCAGAGTGGTTTTATGAATTCTTCGTTAGATATAAGTGCTACTGTACATCTCTTGGAAATGATTGATCGAACAGAGAATTTTCTTCTCTGTTTATATGTTTTCTTTTTACCAGAAACTGACAGAAGCTAGAATTCACGGGCCTTCAGATTTCCCTCCAGTAAATATTGAGACAACAGACTCGCCTAGTGACCTGAAGGACCCAGATTCGATCCCTCAGTGAGGCCATGACTATGCACCGCTGAGGAGTCTCAAAGTGGGGGTGAAACGACTGCATATCATTTCCCAGATTTTTAGTGATTCTCTAACAGATATCACTTTGTGTCCAATTTTGAGCGTTTCCTTTGACATAATGACCATTAGTTGCTAGGCCGGTTTATTTTTTTTTTATTTTATTTTATTTTATTTTTGATTTACAGCTTGATTCCACACTGTATTTTTGGTACAAGTATGGAATTTTCAGCATGGATATCGGTAGCCCAAATTTTGCAGGCCGACCATAGATATCAGGTGTGCGCCAGCGTGGGCTCGAACCCCGGACCATGTGCATGGTCGGCGAGAGTCCTAACCACTGTGCCACCGACGCACTAAGAATGGGTTTACGCTAGTCAATTAATTTAAAGATTTTCCAGCCTAGAAAAGAAAAGAATGGGTTAAAAGCTTTGATTCCCAGGAGTTGCTTCTTAGATTAGTTGATTTTAAATAGAATGTTAGAATGTCAGAAAAAATTAAAATTTTATTCGACTTAAATTTGCTTAGTTTAACAAAAGGAAATAACTGTTTACCATCATATAACTTCACATGAACCATGAGATAATTGCAGATGTTTCCAGTCCATCCATACTGAAAGTCTAAGTGACTGTATATACGGCGTTTTTAGTCTAAGACTTTGAAATCATACTTTCAGCATGCTAGTAAGATCCTTGATTAATCCTGAAACTTCAATTACAAATAGCCTTATGATTGACAAGTTTCAACGTAGAACTATGCACCAATGTACAGCACTTTGAGTCGCCACACTCCATATAGCACACAAAGCAAGAGAAGAAAGTAAAAATAAATTCAGAACGGAGATATGAGGCAAAAAGAAAAGTAATATAGAAGAACAATGTAGTTATATTGAATATTATAATGCACAAGGAGTGAATGCATTTGCGTTATTGAGGATGATATTAAGCCATATCAACAGCTGTCTCCAGCCATTGGTATGTACCATCCTGAGGACTCCTACCAGTCAGGAAGTCTACATCTTCTTACGTGACTTAAACTAACAGTTGTGGATTTCATTGACTGATGAAGCCATGTTTTGGTTTGACCACCACCGGCACTTTTCCAACCTTACCCTATGTCACCTAACATTGCCCATCGAGGAAGGCGATGGCTAGTCATACGTAGCACGTGTCCTAACCATCTCAATCGACGTAGCTTCATAGCTTTGTCCATTGATTTTTTCTTCTTACCTAGCACTCAACCGATGCTTAACCTAAATATTGCTCACCCTATTATACTACATAACATGGGAGAAAGAACACACACTTATGATCGAGAACAGCTAGCCAGGCCTTTCATGTCTTCCATTTTCAGTGGTCATATCTTGCACACATCCATAAAAGAGGATGGAGCGAACTACCGAACAGTACTTCCGCTGTTTGGTCGATAGCCAGCTGGATATTACTTCTACGCCAGAGACGGCGTAAACTGGCATATGCAAAACGAGCCTTCTGTATTCGTGCTGAGATTTAGTCAGCAATCAATCTTGTGGCACTGGCTGATACAGCTTTCTAAACAAGTGAAATAGTCAACACGTCATATCGCTTCACTGCCTATCTTTAAGCTAGGATGAGCCAATCTAGTCCAGTAATGTAGCATCATCATCTTACATTTGACAGCAGGAGCGAATTGCATGCCAAACATTCGTCAATTTCTGCTCCTCAAAGTGTTCAGAAGACTCTGGATTATGTCAGCATCTTCACCTAGAAGGACTGTGTCGTTTGCATATTCTAATTTAACGAGATTATCACTTGACCTGATCCTATGCTTTGTCTGTTTGCAATTGAACATAAAGAAAAGTAATACGATAAATAAGATTATAAAACGAGTAGTAATACCAGAGTTAATAACTGGTATCAAGATATTGCTTCACTTACCACGAATATAATCAAATATGTGTGTAAATGGTATTTCTTTATTTCTTTTTCGAGTCTTATTGTAATATTATTCTCATACTGTGGTCCTATCGATTGGTTTATACTTCCCTATATAGCATTTAATGTCTGTAAATTCATATTTTATCATAAAAATAATAGATAGTAAATATTTTTTATAGTTAACTGGTTAAGATTCAGCTACAAAGCTTTACAGATTTACCACTAACCATTCTGTTGATTTATAGAATATTATATTTCAAGTGGTAGGTAGTATAACAAATCAGTTAACTCCTTGTTACTATGATAGAAAGAGTACTGACTCTTCCTAGTCACAGTATTCATGAAAAGATTTCGTAAAACGTATACTTCATATAAAAGGAAAAAACGTTCAGTGAAGAGGTGCTCTTTTCAGTGATATCACTCGAAGTCTGTACAGTCGTACAAATACACATATGTGTAGTAAATTTTCTGAATCAGGAGAACCAACACAGAAAATTGAGAAACACAAGTATATAGAAAATCAGCGCGCACAGATCAAATACTCAACTATACTAGCAATAATCCAATTACTCACTCACAAAAGAAACTATGTGCAGACATTGTTTAAAAGAGTTCAAACACACTGTAGCACTCCAGCGTAGAAAAGTATGGAAGAAAAATACCTACAAACGGTCTTCAAAAAGAATGGTTATCCACAAAATTTCATCAAAAAAGTGTTTAAAGTAAAATCAAAACACCAACAAGGAACCATCATCAAAGACCACAAGAAAATTCATCCTACCACCATACATGAGAAATATCTCTGAAATAACAGCTAGAATACTGAAACCGTTTGATATAGATATAGCACACAAACCAGTCAAATCGCTTAATTCGATATTATGCAAACCGAAAGATCCAACAGAAAAAGGAGATAAAATTAATACCATTTACAAAGTAAATTGTATAAACCATAACAGGCATTATATCGACCAAAGTGGGCGTCCCCTTCGAATTAGAATCCAAGAGCACAAATCAGCCGTGAAAAGACATGATACATAATCTTTAGTATCAATGCATATAGACAATTATGGACACCAGTTTGATTGGGATAATGTCAAAATTTTAGACAGAGGAAACACCAAAAGTGCCAGAGAATTCCTAGAAGCCTGGTACTCAAACGAATATGCAATTAACAAATGCGTTAATGTAGACGAAATATACGAACTAATAAAAAGTAAATCAGGTGGCCAGAAAGTTTAAAATAAAAGTCAATAGAAAATGGTCAATACATATGTAAAGATGGTTACTGGGAGACG